TCATGGTTCTTTGAAAATTATTTTTCTTGTGCCTTCTATTAGGGTGTTCCTTTTTGCCGTGGTGTCGCTGTCATTTCTAGTAGGCAGGAATCGGCCCATCAATCGGTCTCTCACTCTAGCAGAATAATAATCGAGTTTGTGTAATTTTTGGCATTATGTTCCTCCACACTTAAGAATCAACAACTTTCTCTGTTGAATAACCGAGGATTTAAGGGTGGTGTTTGGTGGTAACTCATGGGGTTGTCAGAAATGTATGTCTTATGATTTCATTACACCTACATCGCCCTCCTCCCTCCAGTTTAGTACTTAAGAATGAATGAAGTAAGAAATGGATTGCATTTCCACGCCAAGAATTAATCATCCTTTCGCTTTTTTAATTGCTTGCAAGAACTATCGTCCACTATCACCCTCGTCTGGTTAAGCATAGCTTTAGTGGGCTTGTAGGTTGATGTTGTTAGGCTTCTCTTCATCAGTTTTCTAGTCCATTTATATAACAAACAGCATTACCGATTTTTGCGATAGCAACAAGGGAGAATGTTTACTACAGGCGGTCCTCCTCCTGTCTGGCTTACGAACATCCCAGTAACGTGACTTTAAGGCCTGCATTATGCCTGTGATCTACAAGGCTACAACCAAACGCATTTTGTCACTAAGTAACCCTCATTTTGTGATGAGGTTCAGAGGAGCATTTCCCAACGCTGTATGCCGCATAATGCCCATCACCTGAGCAACCACATCTCCAAAACAAAACACCACTTATCTTGCCATGAGGATTGTCATTAAGTGTAAACATGAACTAATTCCTTCCAAACACTGCTGACACAAATACTTCTTGCTATTTCAATTCTTCGAGTCGTAAGCGATTCTATCATCACTTTGTGTACTAAATAAGTTGGGCTCAAAATAACAATGTCTTGTATTGTTAGAAAAAAAAACATAGTCTTCATTAAGTGATCATTTCTGGCGGTTACTAAAGGCAGGGCAAAAAAACAACTCAGTGAATATGTCAAAAAAAGACAGTATTTTACCAATAAAGTTGATGGAAGACTGAGTGTGGATGGAGTGTGTGCGTGTGTGTGTGTGTGTGTGTGTGTGACAAATCGAGTAGTTGAGAATGGAGCAGGTGAAATGCACGTATCTCGTGTCAAACTGGCAGTCGGATTGGCTGGGTGAGATGAAAAGGAGTTATTTACATACAGGAGGTCTGGCGTGTGTGGAACGAAGAGGTAACAAGAATGACTTATGTGTGTGTGTGTGTGTGTGAATGATTTTTGCTATTCTGTGCCTTTGAGACGGGTTGAGGGTGTGGGACGGCAGTGGGACCTCAAAGACATGTGTGCCGCACCTCGTTGCGAACACACGTCTGGCAGTGCACTTTAAAGTTGGGCTGCATAATACAATTACACTTCTCGTAGATCTGATGTGTGGTGCTCCTATGACCCCGACCGCAGCACATGTTCATGCAACTTCCATCTCCGGTGGTGTTCAAAATGCATTGCCTAAAATTACATGCACATTCATACCACATCAACCGATGCATTTACAAGGAGTGCAATTCTAGTCAGTTTAAAATCATAAGGTGATGTAGAAAGGATATAAACATCAAGAGTTAGGCAGTAGGTAATTGTAGAATAAAAACTGTTGAATCTTCTTTTTCCGCCTTACAATGTGTTAAAGTAGGATCAAAGTTCTGACCTCAAGAATGTAGCAAAAGATAAGTGGAAAAATGCCCAAAAGTCAGTCATATGAGCAAAAGACTGAAAGTTTAGACTCTTGCCTACCTTCCATGGGTACCGAGGGATCCTCGTTGAGGATCAGGGTCACAGTAGTCTGGTGAGTGTTGGGTAAAAACGAGATCCTCCAGTTGAACATACTCATCAACAAAGTCTGTCTCCTTGAAGACGGAGGCCATAAGGTTACCATCAGTAATCCCTGACACCATCTTTGCAGTCTAGGAGGAGGTGGGACACTTTTAAGTAGGGAAAGTTACAATTAAGACGTATTTTGGCCAAGAATGCAGAGAGAAGGGCCATTAAGGAGTCAAAATATATAAAAAGTCATCTTACTAATGCCGACCCACGTGGCTTCGAGTAAATAAATGTTTGTCTGCTAAAATATGAACTCTAAAGACACTTGTTGGCAGCCTACTAGATAGCGCTGTCGAAGAGCGGCCTTGATAGGTTCTGTATCAATCCTTTGAAGCTGTCGGAAGCAGACCTTCTGTGTACAGCTTCCACTGACGCCGTGACATTTGCATGACTGCTTTTGAAGTGAAATCATCATCTAAAATGCACAACAAGGCCACCTTGCAATGGCATACATTTGATATACCTGAAGCAGACAAGCTTGCTACCTCCATTTGCTAGGTAAATCATTGACGGTCATTGCAAGGCATACTGAAAGTGGCAAAGCCTGTTGTTTGGATAAAAGGATGTGTTATTCTTGTAAAAAAGGAAATCCGTTTCACGTAGGCTTCAATGATACCTACCCAGGCACCAGCCATGTAGTTATGCTGATTTGTCAGCTTCATCTTTGAGGGCTGTCTTCGTCGCCTGCCCGCGCGTCTGGAGGTCCGATGAAGGCTCTCCTTATCTTTTCTAGCGGACTTAGCGCTCCGAGTCTTCCTCTTTAAGTATGGGTGTGGTAAGTCAGTACTGGGAAGCATGTAAAATCCATAGGGAGCTGAGTCCTCATCTCCCTGTGAGGGGTTTTTAAAGGGCGTCGAATAGATGGTGGAACCCGAACCAACTGCAGTGTTGGGGGAGGAGGAGGAGGAAGAGGAGGAAGAGGTGGAAGTTGATGTGGTGTAAGACGTGACGGACTGGCTTCGCGGATGGTAGCCCACCATGAGGAGACGTTTTTCATCAAAGCCCAAAAATTGTGCCACGTAGCTACGCGCAGTATCCACATTGTCTGGACAGCCACTCCAGTAGTGCGTGTTCTGAACCTGTGCTTGGAATTGCTGGAGCTGTTGCTGATGTTGTGAATGGGGAATTTCTGGTTGGAAGGAGATGGCATCACTGATCTTGCGAAGGTTAGCCATATCCAATTGACGCCGCATACGTGGAGAAGGTATGTAGCCCTGAGGGAAACGGGACATCTGTCCACCCTCGGGACTGATTATCATCTCCGTTCCACCCGTCATACCGCAAGAGCAATAGCGGATCTTGTTCAAAGCACAGTAGCGACCGATCTCGAAAATTAGCGCGGCTGCAGCGTAAGCGTGTACAATAGCTTGTTCTCGTGTACCTTTATGCACAAAGAGACATACAATCATAATTTGTATCACTTTCATTGTACTAAAATAATTATCCTCAATTCCTCAAAACCATGAAGCGGGCGCGCTCTTACCTAGGACATTCCAACCTACCTTTCCAGAACTTCAGTAATTTATGCTTAGACTTGGCACAATTAGTAGCAATGCCAACCACAAGATCCGAGTTGACGTTCTAGGCTATTAATCCCACCTTGGGGCTCTCAGTGGTGATCCAAGTAAGGAGGGGATTTGGGATATAACGATGGCATTCCATACAGAGAATGCAAGACAGGGCAACTGGCATCTTACAGCCCCGTTCATACCACAAATTATGTTTGATAAATAACCATACTTCTGAATTCCAGAGAGAACATTCGTAAGGTACCAAGGGATTTGCAGATTTTGCTAATCAACAGAGGTCTCCCATAAAAAAAAAAAACCAACTCCAGTTATGTTAAATGGAAGCAGAAATTTCTCTTAATAAGCAACTGTAATTTGGGTAAAATCGGATGCTTAACGTTGTGCTGTGCTTGGGTGGGCACTGAGAGCTTTGTCGATGATTCTCCCTTTAGCTGGTGTGGCTTTGGAGTTATGCTAATTGTTATAAACACCAATGGTTAGGTGCTCTGTTGCCACCTCGACTGCCTCTCTCCAGTTTCTATTTCGACGACCCTGTTGGTGATGATTTAATGGGATCTGTCTCATAAGCCACGAAATTATGCCACCAAATCCATAATCAAGGGGGTTGAATAAACACCTTGACCCGGACGATTTCTTCCATATGGGAAATGTTTTACAAATAAGTCATTTGGGGATGTTGGAAACGATGTCCGATGGTGTTTAAAGCGATTAATTGTAAGAAAACAATCACCCTTCAACAGCATCAATGGGAACAGGAAGTAATGGAAAGTACTTGGTGAAAGACCTGCTGACAGATGACAAAAATGTGGCTTCGAGGAGTCTTGACAAGCTCCTCTATCCTTTAACCACGACATAACTGACACTGGGTAATGGAAAGGTGCTTTTACATTCCACAATGTTAGCAAACGAACAAATCTTTGACTGTCTCCGAACCATCTCTGTGCTCTTTACATTCTTCGCCACTTGTTGAAGGTTAAACAGCTAAGACTCTACCAAATTTAATCGAGTCACAACTTGTCTAGTCCTTCTTCTCCTTCTCCGTCTTCCAAGCCTTTTCTGCAACGAAAGGGCCTCAATTGGGTAATCTCTTGAGTGTGCTTCACCATTTAGTGATTGCCAGAAAACACAACGCCGCGAGCAGCAAAACAACTGCAATCCAAGTCTAACCACAAGAATCGCGCTTTCGGACTGGTGGAGAATAAATTGCCTCCTCATCCTTCATATTTGTCCTTATACTCCTTCAACCAACTACACCTATTTTCACGAGGTCAGACAATTCCATGATGGATAAAAGTTTCAGATACAAAGTACTATATTGTCTTAGCAAAGGTTTTAAGTTAAATGTATTATGCATTCCCAGCTTGATCACTTCGTTATCTAACCCCGCCTCCCACCTCAAAAACTCACCACGTTTGAGTTCGGGGGACATACGAGGCAATGCCTCGACTGAAGAGCAATTCCACCGTCTATCAGAGAAGGTGTCAGGACAGTGGAAGCCGACAGCACGCGCGGCTCGAAGCACCGGCAACATTGCAAAGCCAAGGCGCGGATGATTACAAAATCTCGCCTGTCGTGGTCGAAAGCCCAAGTGATAGCGTGCGATCTCGCACTCTCGGGTTGTAAAGGCTGGCGCCGTACTGTCTCGAGGGTAGTCGGAACTCTTCCGTAAATGATAAATACCTCTACAAAATTGGGACAATTGTAGATTATTATTTCTTAAAAGATTTAATTAAATCAGTCTTTACAGTCAGTATTCGTTGGGCAGTTCACATCCCCACCTCTTTTATTACCCCAATTGTGACGAATCAAATTGTGAGGCGGTTGGATTCATTGACAAAGATCACTTCAGAAAACGGTGACACCACACTCAAATAGGAATACCGGAGTGGAACTTATTCTGCCCAGGGACCCCCCTCCACCCCACAACTTCTATGCACGTATTCAGGACAATAATTCCTTTTGTCTTTTAACGGTCAACTGTAGCAAACTATTGTACAAATGTAGCTCTAGATGCAGCACCTTTTCGCTACTCATGCAAGACGTATCCTCCATTGAGCCATTTGTCAAACTTCTAACTTCGGCATATCAAAAGCTTAATTGAGAAGTCTTGTAGCCTTTAAGAGGATGAGGATTTCACGAGGAAACTCAATTGTCGTTAGGACACAAATAATGGACTTGTGCTTGAGGAGTTACACGAAATGCGAGACTCTAATGGTCAAAGAATGCAAATGGTCAAGAATTGCCATTTGTCTTGATGCCTCGAACGTCCTTGACCTTGTTAGAATTGATTTAGCAGTCAGTAGCATGAAGTGATTGGTGGATGCGTTAGGTCTCTTCACCACCTCTTCAATTTTAATACACTTAACGAAATTGAGGACATTTCCCACAACAAAAAATCTCAAGCATATAAAACTACTTCCTTCTAGCTGTAAGCAAATATTTAGAGAAGTGAAAAAGCGATGGTCTATGCAAAGTGTTAAAAAAGAGAAAATGAATTGTATCCTTCTTTCCCCTCCGAATCTAACGGAGCACTAAAATTCCCTTCATTATAGCAAAGTATGAAGTGAAATCGTGGGCATTACTGGAATTAGAGAAGAGAAAAGACGAAAAGGATAAAGTGGGCAAAAATCATTCACATACAAAGAGTGTGAGGTTGGCACCATAACCGGTCCGGTGCTTGGATGTCAAATGGGGATCCGACGGGATTCCATTCACCAAAACATGCGTGGCCTATACCAATCATTGTGATAAATTGCCTAGCCCTGATTAATGCCAACCTTGACTGTATTTTCAGGAAGTTTTTTCCCAAGGCTGCTGAGATAGCAGGGAGCCCCTTTTTACAGTCCTAAACCACCCTGTAAGGCATACAACTTTACATCCACAAAGTGAAGGTTTAAGCAACCTCTAAAAGACCTGACACAATATTTTGTCCACCATTTGTTTATGCCATCAGAAGATCCTCTGCCCCTCCAGATTCATATTATATTAACTGGAGAAGGGAAGAAAGATTTATCTCACTATAGCGCATCAATCGCCATTCCTTCGCGTCGCTTTCATGGGTCTGATGGATGGGGAGGGAGGAAGGGAGGAAAACAGAACTCGATCAACCTCCTCTTGCGTCCATACTAGTGTCGGCCTGTCCGAGAAATGAATTTGTAGGCGTGCTGTAATTACTGTTGGTTATAATAGCCTTGTTGACCTAATGTGTTAGCTACATGTTTCACCAAAATATTAAAAAAAGACGTCTAGTAGAGTTGAGCCTCATGGCGGCAAATGCATAACAATGTTGGTTTGTCCTAGACTTGGTTGGTAAGTGGATCTCACGATATCTTCGTCTCGGAATATTTGTGGTCACCTAGTTCCACCCATTAGGTCTTTTCACATTTTTTCTTCCCTATTTTTCTTCCTTATGGCTCCAATTCTCACGATTGTTTCTTTCCGCGTGCCTTCCTTCCATTTATAGTACCTTGCATGCTGGATAAGCTGTAGAATATTGTTTTTGACAGTCTCATTTAATCCCTGTAGGATTTCTAAAATGCTTTGGAGTTCCAGGTAATGTAATTTCTACTCCTTCCCAAAGAAAGAAAGAAGCTGATAGGATCATTTACAAACAGGAATTAAGGTGAAAGGTGAAGTTAAAACCGGACACCTGTTTCGCTAGGTCTAATTGGTCGCGTTATTGGAAAGCAGGCAAAGGAATTAGGAAAGAAACGGCTTTAGGATTTCAAATAATCCCCGTGCAGCTGAATCATTACGCTTGCTAGGGAGTGGAACCCAAACCAGAACGTCAAACAACACACACGCACACAGTTCAGAGGTGCTCAGAATTGCAAATGAAGGAGGTCAAATTGGGAGGTTGCGCAATCTGTGCCTGTTACACGGAAGTGGGTGTCGTTCAGAATGGAGCAGATGTGAAGGGCATTTTCTCTAACTCTTCAAAGCACTTCGTGCGGCGGCATGGTGTGTGGAGATGATGCTGATGATGTGAATCACACAGCAAATGCACACACGTAGCCATGGTCAAATGCACAGCCTAAGCGTTGGACACACAAGCCTCACTTTCATGGCGTCCGCGAACTTCAAAGGAGCACACACCAACCGGCCGCTTGACCAGCCAACCAACTGGCAAAGGCGGGGCACAAGTGTGTGTGTGTGTGAGAGAGAAGAGGGGTGAATATGCGTCTGACTAATTCCAATTTGTGCCTCATTGCGCCGAGCTATCGACATCAAAGTTATCGCCCATTGGGGCTCCTTCAAAATCCACATTGGTCTCATGGCTTCTCTTCCACTCTGCTAACTTCAACTGCGCTTTGCCTGCCTTTAAAAGGATCGTTCTTTAAAGAGAGTTGCAAGGGTAATCGTCATGTAGTTTCCTCATTAGATCCCACAGTTTTGTGTACACAAAACATTGTAACATTTGGGTCAATGTGTCGTGATTGAGAAAATTTCCCAACTCGTGAACACGTTCAAAAGCATTTTAATTCACTAAGCCATTATAAACCATTTGACTTTCTAATAAAATTTGATGATGCCTTAGGGAATAAGAGGCATTTGAAGGTGGTCGGTACTGATCCGACGTTTATACCGGTTCAATCTCGTCCACCTTAGTTTAGTGTGAGCTACTGGTTGGTAAATTAAGCCCTAAAGAAAATAACGACTGCCACCATGTCGGTTTTCTCTTGTAAACTTCAAGCCTTTAGACAACGAACCGACGTACAGTGGAAATGATACAATTTCACACAACTAATGCGTTCAAAAGTAACGTTAAGTGTGAAACTGTTGCCTTGATAAGTGGTACAATTTTTACACTAAAAAGCAAAACACCTTAAGTAAATTGTCTTACAGGAGGCTCTACCGGCGTCCATCAAAATGTGCACTCCTCGGCAAGGCTGCTTCAAGACTAAAACGCATCTCAAATGAAGACACGACCCATTGCCTTGGTTTCTACGATTTGTTTTTAAGCCATCTTAAGATATCAATCAGGTATCATATTGATAAAACACGATTACTTAAGTAATACTGCTTTTCCATTTTAAGTCCATCTACTCGCACACCCAGTGGTATAGAAGCAACGTGCTGACTACCTTCGTAGGCTCTGCTAATGCGAAAGGAAGTGCTTTAATGTACACAACAAAGTGCCCTACTGATCAACCATCAAGTCGAACTAAAGTTAGAAGTTGTAGAAGTAGCTGTTGTTTCATGGACTTCCTTTGGGCGTTGAAAGCACAACAACTAAAGAGGCAGTAACAAAAAGCACTGGATGGCGACATTAAGCTTTGACGATGCTGACCGATAGAAAGGATGCTTGCTTGATAAAAGCTGCACTATCAAGGAGTAAGCACACCACAAAAGAAGGGAAGGAAGGTTGAGCAAAATCCGGATCCCAAATCAGAGGTTGTTTTTGAAAAAAATACTGCTGCTAACTCCCCTGTTTGTGCATTTAAGACTTACGACATGGTCAAACTTATTCTCACGACCCATCCCTCCAGGCTCATAAAACGAGTCCCACCTTTTGATAATACCATCCGAAAGGTGGTCCAAATTTATGGCGTCTGAATCCCAATGTTTGTCTGCCACCGCCGTCTCACCAACGATAGCCACCCCTGTAGTCGTCGCAGTCGTGGTCGTGATCGTTCGCTGGTACAGCGGCCTATTCTCACCCCCTCCTTCCCATTTGCCCTCTCACTCTCGCTATGCTATCGTGCGCGCCTCGCGACGACGAACATAAATTAGCATGCAGACACACACACACGTGTATGCACGAACCCGCTGGCGGCCCTTCCGCACCCGCCGCGTTATTTTCGCGCTACTGAACCCCGTTCAGGCGCCTGATTGGCTTGTTTCGTTTGAATGGGCGTTCGCACCTCGCCTGCGCGTAAGCGTGCGCTCGATTCGAGTGAGGGGGAAGTGAGGGAGGGGAAGATGGCGTATGATCGTAAAATCCTGACTCTGTTTGGGCGTATGTGGGCGCGCGCTCCAGCACGATTAGAGAGCCTTGGCACACACAGTGGCAACGGTATGGGCGTACAGAAATCTCATAAATTGCAGATTTATGTCTAACAAAATGAGTATGGGTCAAATGCCACGTTGTGTGTGCAGAAATGTGTTTTATGAGGTTCTTACGCCGTAGATAATTATTCCTTTCTTTAGATAAACGCATTCTGTACGTACTTGCACTGAGAGTTAATTGTCGTAAGAACAGAAATTTTGAGATATGCTTAGCCCAAGTATTCACTGAATCCATTCTAAACTTCAAAAGTTCTAGTTGGGCTTCAAACATGCATTAACCAATTCTGATCAAATACTACCTAATGCTTGAGTTGAGACCTCTCTAAAAAGGAATCATCTTAAGTAAGGCCTCGTTTAAAAGCATTTGAAACGCAGCACAGTCACTTTGTTTAGAACAGTCATTTTTGAGTCGAGATCGCGGCTGCTCATCTTAAATGTTAAGGACGAATGATGCTTAAATACCTTTGTCACGAGAGTTGTATAGCATAAACAGGGAAAGAAGAAATTGAACTTGCGTAATGGGAAAGAGGGCACTAATTTGTGCTATTTTATGACCAACTGCAATTATAAATCTTCCCGTTCACACAATCGAACCTCGTGTTCAGTGCGAATAGGCTGATTGCCATAGATAAGTGCACCTTCGGCACTGACAGTCTTGATGTGTTAATTTCTGAGTTAATCATCAACCTTTTTACCATGTAGGGGATGTCCGGTGTTAATCTTAAGCACTTGTCACAAATATGCGAGTGAGTAAAATTAGTAATTTATTTCCAATCCAGTGTTTAAACCAGTTCATGACCTACGCAACAAAGCAATTGTCAGCGAAAACTTGATTTTATTTTAGTAAGAGACAAACACGTGCAGTCCATTTCAAAGTGATTAAGTTTGATGTTCATGGTGTATTTTGAATGGAAGTAGCATTAACATCGGTCTTAACATAAGTAGAGAAATTGCATTGTTAGCAACTTAAGTTTTCTAGCGATCTGACTATTTGTGGGAAATCGAAGTAGATTTTAAGTTGTAGTAGTCATGTAGCAACGCCAAATACTGTTTGGATGTTTTAGACTACTGCTTCAACACGCCTAGGAAGGCTTTTAAGGTGCAAACGGTGACAATTTGCATGATATTTTAGGGAACCACAATGGGCCCTTTGAATATAAAAGGAAGTGGAACAAATAGATAAATAAAATTATTTGAGAGGAGAGGAGTTGGATTTGACCACAATTAATTCAAACATATGAGTGCGTAAAGATGTGGTTTGCAAAACGATAAATAAATTGACTACTGCAAAGCATTGGGGTGGGCAAATTAGTTAACACATTAACCTCACCCTCTCCACCTTTCTCGTAGCCGCTGGTGGCTAATGCAAGTCGAAGTGATTCATGTTTCCCTATTAATTGACAGTTAGGGCCTGCCGAAGAGATCAAATGCCTACTTAAAAGGCTCTTCGAATGAGGAAGGTTATTTCCAGTATAACCAAGAGAATGATAAACTTAACACTAGTAACTATAGCATCGAGTTGATTTAAGAAGCGGTCACTTTGGCATGCCCACAATTTTAAATTACAATAAGTTGTCTTTTATTTTCTCTCTTAATCAATGCCTACACTGTTTCACAAAGTAACACGCATATGATAACCACTGCTTGAGCTTTATTGCTAAATTATAATGCTGAGTGATTTAAGGCTTTTGTTCCTTATAAAATTTCGTGGATTTAAGTTAAGTAAATGAAAGTCTTCTGTTTTTAGCTTCAGATGTGGATTAGGTAATAGAAGTATAAAGATTGTGGAAGCTTTCAATAAAAATGTCCCTTCTAAATCTATTCACAAATAGATTCCGTGAATTGATGGGTCAGGTTTAAGTTGAACAACGCCTGAGAATACAAGGAATAAATAATGTGTGGATAACAATGACAGTCTGATGGAGAATCCCGGCACCCACTCATTGTTTTCCTTCCTCTCACTGTCTTTGGTATATTGGGGTAACAAAACAATGATTAATGCTAGCACGCTTCCTCGCTCTGGTGTTTAGAAGGCGGGGGTTGGGACACGTTCACACGCTAAATTTAAAGTGGCAATAAAAACAGACTGTACAGCCGCCATCGGGTTATTGCCATGTCAGTTGGCGGCCGTCCTTTCGTTCAACACACACGCAGGCAAGCAAGAAGGCAGGCCAGCAGCAAACGACCGCGTTCGCCTCCGCCTGCATGTGCGCTCCCAGCGGTGGGGTGTGTATGTGTGTGAAGGGCAATGATGGATTGAGGCACTCGCTTACTAAAGGTTATCAGACCTGCTGGTTGAAAAAAATGGGTCTGGTTGGATGAGTTTTGCACTATACTTCTCCTCTACCAGAAGAGAAATCAGATCAGACTCCATTTATCACTGTCCCTTTCGATTACTTAACACTACTTTTTAGGAAAAAAAAATACACAATCCGTCCAACTCTTAGTCAATTTTGAAGTAATACTTGAACATTCTTCCGATCACACGGTTCTCAACAGTCAAGTAAAGGGCTGCTCTCCTACGAAATTCCATTATACTGTTCTCCGGGACCGCACTAATGATCCCAACGCCTATAGCACGAGGTCAAGCCCCTCATTGAAAACTCCATCCACTTTTTAAAAGTCAACCAATTATCCTTAATTTGTGGCATGAGGTGGGGTAGGGTGAAAATGGGAGGGTGAGGGTATGCAGTCCAGTCTCTCGTGTTAACACCTGCAGTAGTGGCGATAGTGACAAAAACGAATGGTTGGTACTGGTGGCTACTAATTAAGCGTGTCACCGACTTGCTACCCTCAGGATTTGTACTAGCGCATCTGTGACAGATTACCCTACATATCTCAGAGGAGGACGAGTTCTTCTCAAAGACGTGAATCTCTAAAGCTTCCAAACTTGCCCACAAAACAATGCATTTTGAAGGTGGTGCCACAGGTATGCTCCTATTTCAATCATAGCGTCACTTTAGCATCTACACTTAACAGTTGGGAGAGAAGTCATGGACCATCCTTCTATACTTGGATCTCAAAGTGATAAGAGGTGCGAATGATTGAGTAGGTGCATAAAATCGCGTTCGTGATGTTCGGATCCGTAGAGCTAGAAAAGAAGGTTTCACGAGTAGCCAATTTTGCTTCGTTCTACCATCCAAATGTCACATCAAATTGACAATTTTGTCTATTGGATTGTGCTCATATTTAAATTCCTACCATGGAAGAGTCGGAAAGCTGGTCGACATCCTAACTGGATGGCTCAGCTGAGAAAGGAGAGGCTGGAGTGCTTGACCTCCACTAAGCAAGTAAACAGAGACATCGCCACAAATTAGGCTAACAACTACCCGCACGTCTTTAACGTTGAATGAAGAAATGGAGACATGTTTGGGCTTAGCACGATAGAATGAAGGTGTGATGACTAGAAAGATTTAAAATAAGGTCTTTCATTTAGGTTGTTTGGACAGACAGGCAGGATGGTGGTATGTCAGAATGCAGACTCAGACATTCTTCGCAAACAATTGCCGTGGCTTTAAACTATGTGGACAACCATTCCTCCTCCTCCTCCTCCTTCTCCTCCACCTCACCCCCACCACCACCATCACCATCGCCACCATCACTACTACTACTACCACCATAATAGCCTCCCCAGACCGGGAAGGAGGCTGTTCGACACGCTGTCTAGTTTTGCATGTCCGCAATTTTAGGAGTTTCATTTGAATGTGCAAATGCTTCTAATTCCATTGCCCTTGTCAACTTTGTTTTTGAAGTCGAATGAAAAAAATAGTGTCCATTCGCATCGTTTAGGCAAAAAAAAATGGGACCAAAAAAAAGGAGAAGTAGTCGACATTATCACGCCTTAATGGACTGGAAATCCATAGCATCCGAAGCCAAAAGTAGGATGGAATTACTCAAGCACTGTGGAAGTGTGTCTCAACAATTGGGCCATGAACGGAAAAGTGATAATGGAGGGATGGATGTAGCGAAGATCATCGGGCGTGCGCATCCATTTGTAGCGATAATGCTGCCACTTGATCTCTCTCGTCTCGATCGCCTTTGGAATGGTCCATTAACCGTTTCCTACCACTTTTGTCAGTGCTTAGAAGTAAATGAGAAGTCGTACTCAGGAGTGAAGGAAGTATTTTCTTCGAATTAGGCAATAAAGAAAAGGTTCCTAAATCACTCAGTAGTGAAGCCTTGGTTACCATCCATAAACTGCTTAGACTTGGTCACAGCACTCCCCCAATCTAGTGCAAAACAGTAATAAGGAGTTCGAACCGATTGTGTCGACGATGTTAGCGAAAAAAGCCATTTTTTGTTCACTAATGCACTTAAGTGTCAGTTCAATGAAACTTATGGGAGTGCGATTTCATGGATGACATTCAGATGTGAAGTACTGCCTGAACCAGTCATGCCAACGACCCTCCCTTCAGGTTGCTTCAACGTGGATTGAAGGCGACGTACACTGACTCAAGAGGTGCTCCTCGATGGCAGAATGCAGTTCAAAGTAAAAGCAACTCAATCGACACAAGGTGAGTTCGTTGAATTCCTTCACTCCCTTTGTGGAAGCACTGTGCATTCAGATATCACGCTAATACTTCAAGCTCTACTAAATGAAGTGATTTGAGCCGCTGGAAAGCTGTTTAGCACTCATTTGCCCAAAAAATTTGTCCCAAATGATGGATCTACTTGAACGCCCATTTGCAAAGCAGTCGATGCAAGGAAAGTCACAACCTTATGCGACGTCAAGGTGCCCCAGGTAGCCGCCCACATACGAAAGGAAAGTACTTTTCCTCTCACGCGGTGAATGCGCCTTCTCCTATTGTTTGTACTTTGCGCTTCCCCTCTCGTCCCACGGTGCTTTTGGCAAACTTTTGACATTAAATAAGTCATTAGCACCAGTCACCAGTCAGACAACGAACGCAAAGTGAAGCTGAAATATCATCGAGTTTTTAGGAAATTGCTGATTCTCGGAGACGCTTTAAGGTGTTGGGGAAAAAAAGGTAGGAATTAAGGAAATCGGTACATCAGTTTAAATGAATTAACACATCCAATGTCATATAGTGCCAATTTTATGTCCATGGAAGGGGAAAATCATTTGCAGCCTCCTTAATTCCACAACGAAGGAATATTTGAGGGATTTATTAGGCACAAGAATAGTGGTAGCCACATGGTCTGTTTAAAATGTAGTTAAGATGACGTATAGTTAGGATTTTTGTCTCCAGCTGAACATTTAGTCGGTATGTGGCAGGATTCCATCTACACACACGCACCCACACCAGGCATAGTCTAAAACCAAATACCACTACTACCGGCATACCAAGCCTTCATCAAAATGATCGATGATTGTCAATGATGTCTGGTCGGCTAGGCACCCAAGTCGAAGGGGACGAAAAAACGATGGTGGTGTTGGTGATGGAAGAAAGCAGACAAAAAAACGATTGAGGGGACTTACAGCCACTGAATTGCACCTGTTCCACTGGGGAGGAGCCATGCGACGGTGAGAAGAAGGGTCAAGAGGAGTTGGAGAGATCTCCCAAAGGGCAATCCAATAGTCCAAACCATTGGAAGGGACTTTCAGCGTCAAATCCACCAGCGATGGTAGTATGCCTGGGTGTGCAATGTTCACGTGAGTGATAAGACCTTCTGAGTGTGTGTAGTAGTCTGTGATGGTGGAGACGGTGGGAGAGATGAAGTCGGTGCTGAAGGCGGTGTGAATGGAAAGTGCTGTTGTGACGGTGAGCGAAGGAGGCAACTGTGTAACAGCGGTGGACGCGAACGATTCTTTAAACCCCTCGGACAGCCAATCAGCGATGAGTGTGCCGTTAGGTGGATTTGCGCGCACCGCCACAGTCGCAGTAGCCGAGGCCTTGCGATTTAGCAGCTTTTTGCGGGTAATTTATTTGCTTGTTTATTTCTTTTTTCCTACAGGTGTCTAGTAATCATTTTGTACTCGCAAATACATTATGATTCAATTTTACATGGCTTTTTTAGCTCTCAGCAGAGGAGAGGACAGTGAAGAGAAGCTTAATCTGCAACAATGCTACATGAATCGTAGGGAGGAGGATAAAAATTTGCTTTAAAATTTTTGACTTATTATTTTTTGACAAGTCTATTGCATGGAAGAGTTAACGCCTGTACGACTAAAATATCTCCACCTCCTCAGCAGCATTTTGGCTACGAAAACATTTTTATAATGTGATGAAATCTACCAAACTCTCAAATTTTATAATTTATTCTTTCAGCAAAATTTCTCACATAGTTAAATGAAAAACTGATTAGCAGAGCCGCAAAAACCTGATTGCAACTCCGTTTTTTGGTACCATGATTGTGCCTCAAAAGCATATATTATCAGATTTTATTTTGAAAATTAAAGCAAATTAAAATTAGGCGCCTTAGACACATGTTGAAAGCATCTGGTGAAACATAATGGCTGCTCCACTGTGTACTTCTTCTCTCCAAAAATCCATGCTAATAAGCCCATAATTAGCAACCTGGGTTGTACCACTGGTCCAATTGTGAAAGCTATTGAGACGATAACACAAACTTACATCCCAATGGCGCGTGGGGTGATGACTCTCGTGGATGCTAGCAGGTAGTGGGGATTTTGTATTCACCCTTCTAAATTGTGCCACCACGGTATTACTTTGGGTGGGGCTTGTAAAGAGGTGCAAGAAATCATGTGTAACGAGGCCTTGTTCCTTTCCAAAGGCCACGAGAACCCATCAGGGTTGATGCTTTCTGAGGTTTAACTTATGAGGCATCAGACCCGCCCTCCCACCGATTGCTAATAATACTTCCTTAAAAGATCGAAATTGCCACAATCAAGCCAGGCCACTTAAACACGTCATTTGTATCAGCCAAAATGGCCAGCCAAGATGCATTACAATTTGTATACTGTGGTAGAGGAGAGTTGAGACAAGCCTCGGCACGCTCTCCCTTTTATCCGCCCGCCAGCCCAAGTTTATAGCACATGCCTCTGACAGGTGTTTCCCTCTGGACTTCGCATTTTTAAAAACCAGCCTACATCACTACTATGATTTATTAATGGTTTACACCATCTCTTTAATTGTCAAAAGAGTTTACTGTTCTTCTACAATTAAGTGCTAAATTAGTGGTCTTGCATTGTATGGGTGCTACACCTACTGTTTCGCCTCCTGGGGGAGACTGGTTTTTCATCCACAATTTTTGCTTTAACTCTAACGCCCCGTATTTTAATGTTACTCACTTCCTTAACATTTTGGATGAATCACTAGAAACAATTAACTTTTTTAGTACTGGGTTAAAGTTTAGCTAAAATTTTCACCATCTGAGCAATTTTTACAATTTTTTCCATTCATTTGACTTGTATCCTAATATAACAGTGTTGATGCAATGGCAAATTAAAGGCCTTAATTTATCCGCATTGATGAGGATTTACGTGAAATTGTAAAACAAGAAGCTTCTGATAAGATGGCAGCACAAACAAATCTACCTTAAAAGAGGTGGGAAACTAGTGAACAGACTCAAGTTTTATATAAATGTTGTGTAGGGTCTAAAGCCAGAAGAGAAGATAAAGTCACAAAATTACAATGAACTTATCCGTCCACCTGCATTAATACATAAAATATGGCACATTACTTCGGTTGTTTCAAATTCCTTAATAGTCTTCCTTTCTTGCAGAAAGCCTACTTACAAAAAGAAAGTAGGATGCCAAAACGTAAACGCAATGGCTAAATTCCTTAGACGGAGAAACACCAACCATAGCCTTTGGATGTTTTATAACTCTGCTAAGAATTTAACACCCATATTATCAAACAGACTTACTCACTCATTCAAGTGCTATTTGAGAGCTAATTATCATGATATCCTTAAACAATAAACACACTCCTTATACTTTATTATTTAAATGGTTAGTTTTTTAAGCATGACACATTTTTTTGTGAGCTCGTAGTACAACTTGAGAGAAATTGTCTGTCATATGTCTATGAAGTTAAATATAGGTAGCAAAATCGAAAATTCGGATGCAACTAGCCTCTGAGATACTTACGCCAATATACCTCCAAACAGCCAATAAGGCGGTAACCGACTCCATGCCAACAATTCCCTATTCACATTATAAAGTTTTACCAGTTACTAAAAACCACTTTATTTATTATGTATGATTTTTCAAATATGCAAGGTCTATACACCCCCTTGCCTAAGCTGCGTGGCTTCGATGCATCCTTCATGAGCACCTCAGTTTATCTAGATACAACAATATTTCACAATGAGATATTCTAAAACACTGTACTAGAGGGAGACTAGAACCCGTTTTAAATTTTGCGTGGTCGTCTTAGCTTATTAACTTATCTAACTCATGTAGATATTTTGACCCCGAAAGTTCACACCGACGAAACATTAAAGATGAACCAAATTCTAAATAAGTGTTGCAGACCACTTAAGATCTATTGATGTATAGTGTTTACATTTAAGCACCTCTACATAAAGATGGAAATCATCAAAGACTTTTCAATTTTGGAGTTCTCAGTTCTAAAATGGAATACCGCTTAAAATACAGAACCGTAGAATTCTGGATCTTCATAGGACGTTTCTTAGACTTCACTGGAGGTAAGATTACACGATACGGTGACTACCTCTTCGTGCATTTTTAGAGTGGTATTTGTTTCGAATTGTCAGAAACCCTTAGTCCAAGCATTGTGGTCATTTGATCACAAGGCTAAAAAACGCAAGCTTTCGTCGCATAATTTGCTATAACACGTGAGTAAATTTGCCTTCTAAATAATTTTGTGCTTAAACACCGTATATGAGAGAAAAACTCCACAAAATAGCGAGCGACACGACTCGGCAACACCTTATGATCAGTCCCAGTAACAGAGTAAATGCCATTCCAACACCAAACAAATTTGTTGTCCAATATGATGATCAGCTTCTCAGTCTCAGTAAGATTTCGCAACAAAGCATTTGCTTAACACAATCCAGGGCCCTCAGACGCAAAACAACAAGGACCCATAATTTCAAAAAGTCGCAAGGCTTAGGTCATCTTGCGGATACAAACAAAAAATAAAAAAAATAAAGCGCGTTTACGAAATTTTTATAAGTTTAATTAACTATATGAAGCAATTTTGAATATAGCTTAATCAACTTAACTCAAAGCTTTATTTATTTGGATAAACTAAGAACCTTTCCTGAATCTTCGACAGAACATACGCTTTTAGTTATCGACATCACATGCGTGTAACAACACTACTTTAAGTATAATTTCAAATTTATTGGGTCCTGAAATTAGTGATTTAATCGCGTTTCGGAATAGCAGTCGTTGTTGTATTTAAGTCTAGTAGAACTTATGCACAACTTACTTTAATATTGTAATATTTACTAGTTTTTTTAAGTGGACTTTTGTAGGTGAGAGGCGAGAATCAATCGTGAACAAAAAATCACGTGCAGGAACTCAGCAAGGAGTCCCCTCTCTGATTGACACCCCCAACTCTGCATCATCAGTATCACATTCCTATCATTCCTAATAACTATGCCTAATAAAGCCTCTGTAACCAACAGCCTCTTGAAATCTGAGGCCCAAGGACCAGAGGGAAGACATGTGGGGCCTACAAATATAAAGCACAAGATGGTAATACAATCGCTTGTGCCACCAAATTCGAGAACCAATGCATTTAGCTTAATAGGTTTAGCTAAAAAGCAGTTAACGTGGCAAATATTTCAATCCAGCAATAAGTAGTGATTTAAACGAGTTTGATTTTTCTTTCACCAACGCCTAATAATGATCAAATAGGAGATTCAAAAACATCGAAAACAAATGCTAGCTCAGCTTTTTGAGTTTTTGTGATTTATTGAAAAACATTAGGAAATTTCACCTTTAATTAGGCACCATATTTGCTGAGACCACATTTGGCGAACTGCCTTAAATATTTACAAAAGAGTGCATAACCATTCGAAAATGTTTCTTGGAATGGTGTATTTTGTACAGCTGTGTAGATTGTCAACGCAATGATTATATTTTTTCCAAAATGTCTTGGCGTGCATTCAAAAGCGACAAGAGTGACAGCACAGATGCAGGTTAGGCGAGCTCCACATCAGTGGCGTGTATGCGAGGATAGGCGCACTGAGCCAGTTCTACTAAGTGCACTTGTTTTAGCTCCAAATTATCCAGTGTAATTCAATTAAATGCTCTTTAAGCTGCCACTGCTTCTATTAGTTTCGCAAACAATGGACTTTCATGCACCGCTGACTGTTTCTGCGTAAACTTCTAGATGGCCAATCCACTTTTACAACAAAATCATAATTCTGGATATTGCACTAACATTTTCGAATACCAGGCAATAACTGCACAATAAAGCTGTTCATCTCCAACAAGTCAGTCATCTAACCGCTCCAACTGCCTACAGTTGTTTTGTTTTTGTTCTGCGAATGCCCCGCTTGGGTGCTCCATTTTTTGCAAAAGTAAGGAGCCACTTAAGGCTCAAACAGCAGATAAATATAAGCTAAGTTAATGCGACAGCAAAATAGTGCATGTAGAGCAATAAAGCATGCATTTAACTTTATAAGTTTCAATTATAGCTGAAAAAAATGCAGTCAGTTTGTGGAGTTCACTAAGGCAGAGGTGAATATTAAGTTCTGCCTCAGATTGGTCATTTAATCCCCTTCCACCTTGAAGAGGTCATTTTTATAGCCCACGGTCTACTTCATGACCGTACAAAGCTGCCTTCATCATTCAGTGCAACCATCTCAATTGTTCACACATTTCCAATGATCGTCCACGCTTTAGTGGTCGAGTCTCCTTGTTTGGCACTGCCGCATTACAGTTCTGCAAAATCTTGTTATAACGCGTTGACACCTCTCATTTGGCAGTGGAAGGCATCAGGCATGATAAATACTTATACTCAGGGAGAAAGGGAAGTGCAAATTGCTCGCCAGTCCTACATGTTATCAAATGAACAAAGCACTCTGATGTACCTTCGTCCACTAGCGGTGTGTATTTTCTCGAGTCTTCTAAAATTGGAGTAAATTTCTCATACGATGATGATGAATTGCACGGACTCCATCGTTTTCTAAGCGAAAAGTGATCACATTAATTGAGGAGTGAGGAATTTGTTCGGTTTCGTATTCGATATGGCAAGCTACTTGCTTGTGCCTGCTGAACTTGCTGAAATGCATATTATGTGTTAAAATAGACTTTTGGAAGTCAGGAGAAGGAATGGACTTCAAACGCTGTGCTTGAGAAGAGTGTGGATGACCAACACTTCGACTCTTCCCGTGCCCACTGAGCTAGTGACCATTTAAAATGCCAAATAAAGCCATAGAGTTAAAGATTCTCCCGAAGAATCCCAGAACAGGAGCCCAGAGAAGAGTGAAGTTACTACAGTTGCCACTTTACTACACACAAAGCAGTCTTCGAAGCAGCCAAGTTGGTTTCTTCCTGATAGTTGTCATTATTTGTCAGAGTAGACTTACACGGTGGTTCTCGCCATACTAATCATAGTCAAAACATTATATGCACTTTTGTTAAACTCAAAAAACATTTAAAATTTTAATGAAAGCCAAGAGAACAAAATGCGTCTTTTTTCGCTTACGCCTAGCTCAAAGAAACGTTACAACCGCAAAACGCCTTCCTGTTAACTTTCCTACCCGTATGACTGGTGGCATTTATCTTGCTCCTGCTAGCTTGGACTTGCCTCACTTAATGCCTTTTCCTGCCAAATAGGAAGTCCCTAAATGTTGCACTCATAAAACTTATTTCAAAGCTAAATTTATGTCTACTTTATCACCCATTGTATTGAAATGCGCAGATTTTTTAAAGCAATTTTCACTAGCTTCACTACACCCATGCTTTAAAAGCATTGCACAATTCGCCGAGGAGTTAAGTGACGGTTTTTTGGGTGATCTGTAATTGCCTTTAGCTATGTAAACAAAATACCTATTTCTTGACTAGTGCCGCATTTGACCCCCTTTTTTATCAGTAATCACATACTACTCATAACAATATAGGCGTGCACTTTTCCTTTTTTGGGGTAACTACTACGCGACTACATTTTAACAAATGACCAAATGGTCACTCTAGTCATGACATTGGCCGTAAAGGCGAGGAAAGGTAAGGTGCTGAAGGTCTAAGGTACTTGTAAAGCTGAGACCTAGCATATTGCGATTGACTTGGGCCCAGAGCACCACCTGGAGCGACGCCATCCCTTTTCCTTCATTATTTTATTTGGTTTGAATTATGCAAAGGAATTATTCGGAGACATTGTAAGAAAACTGACGCCTCATGTGAAGGCTGAGGCTGAACACCACTACCCTTTGCAAAAGAGGAAAGATGTAAATGGAAATTGTTGCCAGTACTGCTTTGCCGTTCTACAGGCGTCAAAATAGTCCTACTTTCTTGGCATGTGGGTGTAAGCGACAAGAGTGAAACCACAAAGTTAGGTCTGAAGTACTTCACAATGGTGGCGTGTGTGGAGGCAGTCGCACCAAACGAGTTCATTTAAGTGTGCATGTTCTGAGCTCCTTTCATGCGCGTGTGATTTAATTAGTGCCTTCTCTTTAAGTGATCATCAACCCGACCATTGATGGTGAAAAGGTAGGGAATGACGTCACACACGGTTTCTGTGATAACCGAAATTCATTCTCCCTCGATTAACTGCCTTTTCATCGTCGATGCATGCTGGGTAGACGACTGTGCACTAATGCGTCTTAGCATGGCTTAAACCGGCATAAAGTTGCAAAAACGTTTGATTTAATTACTGATGGGCATGATTTGGAGCCGTTTATGCTATCACGCATAGCAGACGAGCGGCACCACAGAGGTCTCCATCCCCGTCACTCGAGTGCCGCCTTCGTGTGGCATTCAGTCGATCGCGCCACCTGAGTGCATCTCCTTTTCAACCCCTCGTCAGCCTACTTGAATGTCTTCAAGACTCATTAAGTCGACAAGGATAAACGAGTTAAGATGATAAGGAGAACGAAAGTCTGTGTAAATTGTTAATTAGTTTAACAACTTTTTATTAAATGCGACTTACCCGCCTTTCTTAAGCAGCACTTTTGGTGGTTAGAGTGTGTTTAGCATATTGTTGCAAGCGCTAAGAATTAATAGTAAAAGAATTTGGGGAGGTAAACAAATTTTTGTTTTTGAATTATCCACAACTATTTGAGTTTTCTTTTGGCGTTTACTTGCCCGTGTTTATGCCAGAGCATTTGCGTTCTTTGCTTCAACCAATTGCACTAAGTTAAACCAATCAAATTACTAGTTTTATGTGCAGTTCTCCGAGAACTTTTAGGTGATTTACAAGTAGGAGCAGCAATAGTCACCACCCTTCATGTTGTATTTTAACACTTAAACAGCAATATCTGTGTAAACATTCCAAACCGTATTCCATTCTGCCACCTTTCAAATCGCCATCGAATTTCCAAATATGAAGAGGTCAGTAAGGGAAGAATTCTACCAATTGGCTTGGCCTCGATGCTCCTTCCATTCAACGCACAAGGGCTCACAACAAGGCGAGCACCCACCATAGCACCGTTGGATGCTGTAGATAAACCAAAGCTAAGTACAACCACTTGGACTATAAAACTTGTAACAAAAGTGTACTCAGGCCCAGCGCGATACATGGCCGTGGGGTGATGACAATACCCCGCTAAAATAAAGGTCAAATGAATGGAAAACATCCACATCAGGAAGCTAAGGTGCATATTTATTACAAATGCAATGCGTAAATAGTCTGTGTAACTGATCCGCTCAAGAATTGTACCACCAGACCATCGCCAGGATTGTATGGCAGAAGGTCTTACAAATGCTTTTGTGGTCCAGTCTACACTTCGGGTCTTGTTGAGGGCTCTCCACCTCTTCTGGGCGGCACCGATAAAGTTATTTTTGTGCCCTAATTGACGACAGCGTCGCAAAAATATGATTTAAATATGTGACAACAGGTCGCAGCCTCCGGTGAATGGCAAGCAATCTAGATTATACAACCTTATTCTGTACTCGAAACCCCGAGAAAAAGTCTGTGAGCTTAGAGAAGAGCGTCTAAAAAGACCAAAATAACGGCATCCTATTATTATATTTGCCTGATGTTCAAGTAAAACGGCTACTAAAGGAAAATTACATCCCACGGAAGTCTATCATAAAACTGGCAAGGCAGGTGACACTGCATAATTTAGTGCTTACTGAATGGAATACAGACAGGTGGGTAAGAGAGGAGGGAGACAACAATGAAAAAGAAGAGGGAGACTCCATTATTAATTAATGAACTAATTCTACGAATTTTGGTTGAACACGGTTTTACGTCAATAGGGACTTTCATTGGGTTGACAAAACTACAAGGTATCAACTGACCTTGAATGCTATTAATTCTTTAATAAGAGATGGTAGATAGAGGAGTAAATAATTTATTAAATGCAATCATAAACGAAGACCTTGTAAATTACTCTGCAATGGGCTCAAGCACGAACGAAATAATCATCTTAAGCTATTTAAGAATTCATGATGATTGAGTTATGCAATTTATTATGTTGAGTTTATGTATTGTATAATTAAGATGCGCCATCCAAATTTGCGAAATAACAAACATGATAAGGAATACTGCATTTAAATTAGATATTATTGAAAATACAAAATTTCTATAATTTCACAGGTATCCTAACGACCTACAGCAATTGCAACAGAATTATTTTGTCTTTTAAACAAATGGGAGGAGTATTAAGAAAAATTTTGGCTCCATCAAGTCCTTTTTACCTCAACAAAATAGGAGACACACTCTAAGTTACTGATTCTGCAAACAAAACAATTTAATAATGTAACACATTTAAAATTATCACAAGCATAAAAAACAAAACTTTCAGACAGGGCACGTAATTATATCTTCTAGTTAGACAAGTGGCGTTAGGATTTGTTTAACCTAATTGTTTTAGTTTCGTTGACCTCACCTCCTTTTTAAAGGGACACGTCGCTGTTTTACGCACACATTTGGAGACTGGTGTTTTTCAGCTAGTACTTCCGCGTAGGTTGGTACAGTGCATTTACAATTGCTTTATACATACAAGGAATTTGTGTATTTTTGGTTAAAGTCTATCGGCTGTTGCTTAATCGTGAATGAACTTCCATTTTTCCACTTTAATTTTTTTGCGATTTTCCAGAAGCCGTTACCAAAATTTCTAACTCAACCATGACTGCTCAACTTATTGCGGAGATTGACACCCTTAATGATCAAGACAAGTTTCAAGAGGTATACGATAAGCTGAGGAAGCCCGATGGTAATTACAGCGACATGTCCCTGGATCTTATGTGGCGGTTAGCCCGAGCATGTCGTTTCTTGGGTAAGAATAAGCGGTATTGATTCAAGTTTTTAGTTTTGAATAAGGGACCGAAGGATAAAAAGGCCAAGGAAGAGTGGATTGAGGAAGGTCTTAAAGTAATGAAAACAGCTGTGGAGAGATTTCCGAGAGAATGCCTTAGTAATACCGTAAGTCCGTTTTAACGTAATGTTTCAAGTGGTATGGCATAATGCTAAATGTCAAATCGCAAGATGAAGGCATCAAGAACAAAATTAAGCTTGGCTACGAAATTCGGGAATACTTTGACGTAACTTCCGACCCACTACCACTTAACACAGATTTCTAGAAAGGACATGAGGCTGATCCGAACGACTTCATGGCTCTCCACTGTCTAGGGTCATGGTATGTGATATGCTGATTGCATCTATTATATAGGTGCTTTGAAGTGGCATCTTTGGGCAAAGTTGAGAGAGCCTTTGCAACAACCTTCTTTGGGAAGCCACCAGAATCCACCTTTGAGGAAGCCCTAAAGTTCTATTTGGAGGCTGATAAGAGTAAAATGTGTCTCTAATAACTAACTTAATGGTAGTTCGTCCCGATCGTCCGTATACGGTGTGCCGAATCGCCCAGTGCTATGAGCGACTAAAAGACAAAGAGAAAGCCAAAGAATGGGCACAAAAGGCTATTAAACTTCACGCGCAAGACCCGGAAGTTGAAGAGGTGAGTGTTGCCCTTTCATTATAACTTAATATTTCTAGTTGCAACGTGAATGCCATCGCTTGGCGGAGTAACAAATTGTTTTTCTTGAAAACTCTTACGCATTCTTACGCTTGTCTTACTTCTTGTGGTGTTTTTTAATGAAATTCTCCACCTATAGCTTGCATTCCTTTCATAAGTGTCTAATAAAAAACTGAGCAAGTGTCTTATCGTTTTGAATTCTGGGATGTTCTTTATCAATACGTACATGCGTGGTGTCATAGTGCCGCATTTTGCAGTTGATTTTGGTACTCCCAACGCGAAATATGTCTTTATTGCTTTGGACGCGATTAGGTGTCTAAGGGTCATTGGTGTCAATTTGGTGCATTGAGATCGGTACGGAAGCTCGCTGGTATCGAAGTGGTCTTCTAAGTGAGGATTTCAAATTTCCTGGCATGTCCTTATCCGGCGTACAGTTTCTACAGACAACCTTTTCTCCGGTTCTATGACTGTTATTGGATTGTAAACTAATTGTTTACATTATCCATACTGACGGTACCTACTAGGCAAGATTTGGATCATGATGTGTTTCGTCAAATAATTCCATGGGGTAGTTTGCACAAGTAAAATAAAATTCTTACATTTATTATTTGTCGAAGTGTTCTTACTTCTTTGTCGGTTGGACAGCTGAATGGCTCAAGCAAAGCTGTTTCCGAAATGCCTTCTACCGCGATTTCTCACTCATCTCGTTACAATGTAGGTCATGTCAAATAATCCTGAGCCAATATTTACAATGACCACCAGTTCCAATTAAAGTTCTCATTGCAAAATGTGGATTAAAACGCAAGCTCATATCCTCCTTTCAAGGATCTAGTCACTTACGGTGTCATTTGTGCTAAGAAAGCCTTCGCGGTGGTGCCTTTTCCTTCAGGAAGGAGCTCTTGACATTTGCTAGTTAGGAAGGTTGATAGTGCGAAGAGTAGCATATCTTGATTAACCAAAAAATCATAATTTTACCAGCGAGAAAATCGGTGGATCAAACCAAATTGTGTTGATATCACCTCAGCGGTTCGAATTAACATAATTACGCACATAAACTTTTGCATTATTAAGGAGTGCCACCTTTAAGGGGTGCACAGTCTGAACTAATATGACGGATTTTGTCCCATAATCACACATATTTTAATCCACCCTGTTAGCTGGAGCAGTAAGTGGTCCCCACTGATTAGCAAGCAAAATCGTCTCTAAGTGCGCATTCAACTCTACTGTGTGTACATGGTCTACTCACATACGCCCTTCCTCTCAGCAGTGGGTTAGCGAAGGCAAAATACGTGCATCACTATGTCGAGCCCTTCAAGCTCAGCTAAGTCCTACCTCCAAGACTTGACAAAACTTCATTTTTTATGGAATCCATTCCTTTCTTCTCAGGTTGACAAAATGTATGTATAATCGCATCGTGGCAGTCCATTAACAGTCTTGGGTAATTATATTAGCTAAAACATTGGCTTACAATAATTCTGCTCTGTTATTTGACTTTTGTCATCACAATAGTGCCACATCTCCTTGAGACTCAAGATGCTTTCATCATGCACCACTACCACCTCCCATTTTGCAATCGTGGTAACGAACTTAATAACAGTTGTCACAGTGCTATTAAGTAGTCCTTTTTGCAGGACCTTCTTATCACAATGACTTCTGATGAAAATTAAATGTTTAAATAAATAAATAAATAAGGTGAAAAGTAAAATTGCTTTTAATGGGATAAGGAGAGTAAATGCGAAATCCTCTCGCCTAATGAAGAAGATCACCAGATTAATGCTTACAAAGTGACTCAGATTACCCTATCCAAAGTCGTTCTCTTTGTCCTCAACTTTGTGAGGTACGTGAGAGCATAGTGAGTATAGCCATGGGCTCAGCTCTGGAGACCAAAAGACCAAATAGGCCAATAGGGAATGCGGCTGAAAGCAACAAGCGACATAGCATGACTGTCGCAAAGCCTCCTTTCCTCTCTTTTCTATCCGTTCCACCTACAGGCCTCACACACCCATGCGAAGATTTCATGCATAATGTTCCTGGTGTTATCGCGATGCGTATTGTGCAATTTTGTTTTGAAGTTGAATTTAAGTGTTACACTATAAGTAGGTGCCGAAATTTTGTGGCGGTTGTAAGTGGTTTAGAGGTCAAAACGACACTTTCTGTACGATAAGTAAATATGTGCCCTACCTTATTGTTTCACTTAAAGGAGGGTTTCAATTGCTACAGACATAGTTTGTTGTGTGCCTTGCAAAAGATCCGAAGTTGATCGACTCTTAACACATCAAAACAGCTAACCTGCTACATTCTTTGTCACATTTATTATACATTCAAGCACAAGTGGACATGTGTTAAATCTACTTGAACCGTACTGATATACTTCCACTCGAAATGGCGAACCTATTGCTTTATCGGAGTAAAGTTTTGCCTGTGGCATGCTTTGTAAGCGATCGGTGTTTGAAGTGCAGCCATTAGCCGCCAATTGGCACTGACGCTTAAGAGACTGGAGAAGCACAGTGAATGATGTCGCATCTAGGAAAATGGGCTGTAACACAAACAATAGTGCAACAGAGTGCCGCCACGCTAGCATCGGTTTTTGCCCTTGTCTTACAATAAATGCTCTTTCGCAATGGCTTTCAAGGGTCTTTGTTGCCTGAGGGTATGATACACAACTTTGGTTTTTCTAGCTGATTAAATATAAGGCTCAATTTCTAATGATATTTGGCAATGAATCAATCAAAAGTAGTTCAATGAGAAAAGTCGAAAAAAGCAGACACATTTACATGACTGGATGACAAATCAAAATAGTCTCACGACGTTTCAAAATAGTGCTCTTCTCAATAACTTTGATACTTTTTTGATAAAATTCCCATTTGTTATTAGATTCTTCTTCCCATCAGAGGTGTGTTTGTCGCACATTCTTATCAACTATCCGGAAAATCCTAAGCATTTAAGACATGATTTCATCCTCAGAAGTGCAAGAAAATGCGTAAGAAATTGGCTAAATGTGAAGAACGGAACCCATAATTTCTCGGTCAACCCAACCAATGCAGAGGTTATATGAACCTATCAGCAGTGATCAACACCATTAAGCCAAAAAGCATACGGTGATTAATCACGATAGGGAAGAATGGAATAGAATGCATCGTTTTGATGACTGCAGGGCTAAAGTGCCCTAAGAAACGATAACAGTCAAGAACCCAAGGATCCATCGTAAAAGAAAGGAAAGATAGGAAATTATTTAAAGATGTAAAATTAGCTCTCATTTGATTTGAAAAAGTACCGTTCCCTAAAGGACGTTGAAATTAAACAGATTGCAGCTGTGCATCGGAACTCTGGGTTCTTAACTCACTGCTAAGTCCAAGTGCTATACATTGAAATACGCATTGTCGAGTAACAGAAAATCACCTGGATAACGGCTTAAAACGTGAAAGAGAATACAGGCCGCCATAAGCAGAGTTTGATTCTCATGATTAATGCACATTATGGTATGCATGCTACGTAACTTTAAATGTGCTGTAGTGAAAGATGTCAACGTACTATGATTGAACAAGAGGTGTCTAAAATGTCCATAAACGTACTATATATATTTGTAATATTCGTCTTAATGTAATTTTTGACTTATAATTAAATTTATTGTACAACAAAGGCGTTATATACAGTGCGCGTTTTATTGTGCTCGTAGTTACGGTCGCGTTTTGATTTTAAAATCACAGGTGTGTTTGTGTGGATATTTTGTTTGATTATGCTCGTCGCCGATAGAGGGGCTGATGCTCCTCTTGCGAACAGCAGCGTCACATTCGCTGATAATGTTGGATATAAGGGTGGTGGCTACGAGACAACTTCGCGCCGCGTGAACAATCTTGATGACACCTCACTGGACTTTGATGAGCGTGAGTTTCACATTAATTTCAACTTTTTGCGTATGGACAAATGTTTTGATATCTTTCCCTTCTTTCGTGATTTTGTGGCAAGTTGATATATCTTGTTATTCCATTTCAAAAAAGGGTTTATGCATACTTACCGCACATTTTCCTTCACATTGTGCTTTAAGACACCCAATCTACTTTTACTACTTATGTTTCCTCAGCTGGGAGGCGTTTTTCATGGTTTTGACGAATGCGGAAACATAGTCAATGAGTTACTTGTGCTGCAGTAAGCCTTTGAGGTGGTAGCTGATTCCTGACTCGGAGAATCCTTTTCCTTTTCGTATTCGCCACGTAGAAAATAATGACGACGTGGAGCGCATCGCTCGCCGGCGATCAAGACTGCTAGAACCCCATCCCGAAGTTGTCAATAGTCCAGCACACGATGCGGCTCGTCGTGTTGTTGCTACGCCGTTCGTTCCTCGGGCTCAGGTTGGTGAGCACTACGGGAATTGTATTCGTCTTGCGGCCGAGAATAAAATAACCTACAAAAATGCCTTCGATCTCCATCTCATTGACTTCATGGGTGAAATGATCAAGAAGGAGGATTTTACAAGCTTTCGGGTATGCATCGGATGGGCAACATTAGTTACTTTTGTCTTCCCCTCCACATTAATGATACGATTCCTTGATCTTTAGATGGCTAGCTCGTCCTTGGATGCGAGTGCAAAAATCTATGCAGGTCGCGTGGATGCGGTACATCAAGAGACGTATAAAGTGCTAACAGGGCTTGGACGTTCCGATTCTAAAACGACAAAGGCGACTGCCGGCTGCGACGGCGATGATTCGCGGGCACTTGACGGTGCAAACGATTCAGTCGACGAACTCGTTAGCGGTGTGGCAATCAACGATCGCAGGCGGAGGGAACGGAAGCGCGCCCCAAACGCTAAATCCGTTATCATCACCACGTTGAATAAAATTCGCTCTAGGATTAAGGCCTTTGAGGCTGATGTGAGTATCCGATTGGCATACACCGCAGCTGCTTTTGAGAACAGGGCTCATGAGGAGCAACCCTATGTTTCATCTATTCGCGGGAATTATAGTAATCAACGCGTTTTTCTTCTTTTTTGAGGTGGACCCGTTGTTTCAGCAACAGGCAGCTGCATACGATGACGGTGGTACAGTAGAGCTTAGACTGAATCGTCTAAGAACGTACTCTAAGTATAGTGAGCTGCTGCAGGACTCGGATACGCCGCTCTTCAATCCTCGAGAAGAGGCTTATTCCCTTTCATGCTGTACCCAGCCCGTCGATTTGTACCCTGTCTTTGACTCCCACACACTAGAAGCACCTCTCTGTTTAGCATTCGATGATTTCCACTTCACCAAACACAATGATGAGACTAGCGTGAGTTGCTATTTATTTTTTGCGTACGTGAGGGATTGTCATGAATGCTGTACTTCACTATTTTATCGGCAGTTCTGGCAAAAATGTATCAAAGTACGGTGTTGTGGGCTCTTGAGATGATCTACTTATTTTAGTCATATTTGTGCTTCCCAACTTTTCACGTTACTTGTCAATACTTTCGTTTTCTCTCATTGTGCAGACTCACATAGCTCCCCTCAGTCCAATATTTATGGAAGATCCACACGATTCCGTCACCACAACTCCCATTCCTTTGGCCTCTCCATCTATGGACGTCGATGATAACGCCGCCATCCCCGCCCCCGACGCTGATGGAGGTATATAGTTGTCACCTTATAACCACCACACATCAATATTTTTTATAAAGTATATACATAATGTTTTTGCAAATATTACGTGCTCTAGTTTGCTTAGCTTATGACTTATTTTGCTCAATTTTTGTGCGTTTAAGTGGTAAATATTTGCTATCATATTCGTGTATTTTTATTTCTTAGAGGTTGACTATGAGCTTTATTTCATTGCCAAATTTTTTTACTAACGGTTTCCTTTTTTGTCTTTAGATGACGGTGAGGTGACTTTGATCAATAAGGGCAGCGCCATACCTGAGAATATGGATGGTGTCCGAGCGATAGACGCTGCAGAAAAGCAGTGAGACATTTCTCCCCTTGGGCCACTCTATTGCTGTCTTCATTATAATGCAACTGTTTGCTTTTCCCTTTCTACCAGGAATGTTGCAGAGCCGACTGCAGAAGGAGAGTTATTTGTCTCCAGCCTAAAATCCATGTTAACCACGCATTTGGAGAACTTTGGCCAAGTCAATGATGGCGTACTGGGATTATGGGCTGGTCCTGAGCACTGGCGCAAGAAGGCCAAACGACGGCGGCTCGATGAGTTTGGGAGTAGGTTCTTTACTCTCCCTTCTCACTACAATACTCACCACTCGCTTTTATGATTTTTCGCCTGATACGCGTTTCAGATGTTGCGGCTCAAGTGGAGAACGAGGAGAATGTGACTAGCGTGGGCAAGAGTGCTCGTTCAAAGTGCGCAAAGAAGCCCAAAAGGATGACTATGGATTACGCAGCCGTCCTCCTTGATGCTGGTGAAAATCGCTCCAAGTGCGTCATACTTTGGCATATAAGTGTCTCACTAACTTGTTGTCATTTGACGATGCTGTTTTATTCTTCTGAGTTCAAATCAAAACATAATATTAACTGATTTTTTTGGTGAGTTTCGAATTGGAATATGGAGCAAGGTGTGTGTTTTGAAACTACTTGGCTGGTTAGGCTTGATCACATACGATTTCAGCCCTTATGCCTGGATATCCTAGGATCTTGACGGCTTAAAATCTTCAGAAGTAAGCTTTTGTTTGTAGCTTCTGCTTTAACGCCTTGGATGAGCTAATTTAATGATTTCAAGTGTACCAGGGCTAGAATTGACTACATTTGCATGCTTTTTTGTCTGGTTTTGACTCATTTTTGGTACCTAAATGAAATGATCGAATATTTCCTTCTTCCTTTTCGTGATGGTTCACACAACTTCTATATGAAAATGAGATTTACTATTATAGAAGTTAATGAACTTGTTGTCCATTCGATATGGACTGAGACACGTTTCTAAATGTTTGTGTCGGTTTCAATAGAAGTGGGTGCGTAGTGCGCGGCGATTGGTCCAAACAGCTGGAGGTATACACCAAAGAGAGTGGCAAGTCTCCAGTCTTGCGGGAGCAAAATCGCCGTCTTGCAGGCGAGCGCTTCAATCTCCTCCCACCCTCAATCGCTGACGCGCGTCAGAACATCTACGAGCTCTTCAATCGCGAAGTAATGCGAAATTTGGTAGATAGGAGGACCAATGAGACGCACGAAAATGTAACAGCAAATGCCATGGCTGATGGTGGGATTGTGGTGAGTCGTTGTTAGTGTTAAGGTTATGCGGTGGGCTATTTCCGACCTTTCCCTTGGTTGTAGACAGCGATTATTCTCAAATGACTGCCTTAAGATGGCTTCATGATTACACTATCTGACACCGTTCGATAGGGGAGGTCTTTTCTCTTCTCGGTTGGATTCCAATATTCCTAATTTTTTTGGTCATACAATCTACGGTCATGTTATCTGGTTTATGTGTTGATAGCGGTATTTGTTACCCTTTTATCCATCCGAGTTTTTCCCCTACATACATTTTTAATTGCACAACGCAGGATTTGTACTGCTATAAGAAATGATTCCAGTCTTTTGGTTTAGACCTCGTGGATAGGTCGTTGTCATTGAGTAAGCTTTCGATTGGACTCTTAGTTCCATTGAATCTGCTCCGAGTAGTAGTTGTTCATTTTTCGGTTTTCGTGCTTTTTCTTCTACACGTCATTTTAGGTACTCCTTGAGGAGGGATCTGTCAGTGTTGTTTTTCTTGGAGCGTTATTTGTTATTTTTCTTGCTCATTGTTGGTACTACCTTTCCGGAACACTTATTTATCCTTGACTGACTGAGTTATGTCTGTATCAGCTATGCTCTTGCTTCTTGTGCGCCTAGCTTGTGGCACATGTCCTTTTGATTTTGTGTGTTAATAAAATCTCACTTTAGCCGCCGTGGCTGGACAGTCAGGCAGCTGCAGCCGCAGCTGAAGAAGGAGTGCATGATGACGCCGATGTTGGAGACTTGGTTGATATGGTAGCGGACGATGATGACGATGACGTCGCCCCTTATGACGGCATTTTCACTCAGGTAATTTTGGTCTTGCTAATATTCCTCAGGAGTCCCTTCTGTTAGTCTCAATTTGGTTCTTCATATAGGGTCCCGGCGGCTTTAGCGAAAACACGCCTACGGTGGCCCCATTGGAGGGTGAGGATGGCGTGAAGTTGGTGGTGCCACCACGTCAAATCGCTCGCCTTGAGATCGGATATGCGCGTTCAGCAAAACTCATCAATGTACGTCATTTGAAGAGTGTGCTCTGGAGCATGATCGAGAGCGATCTCGCTGCCGCTCCCGTCCTTGCTGCCACTGCAGAAGTAACTAGCCCTCCCCCGAAGAAGATACGGACGTTTGCAGAGACTGCTACATCGCCTGCGTCATCATCATCACCATCACCGTCACCACCATCGTCATCATTCGGCGATGTCCTCACTGCTCTACCTGCTAAAGTCTCGAAACAGACTGCCGGAGAACTGAGCGTAGCGATTGGGCTCAATTGTCTCCTTCATCTGGCCAACGAAAAGGTGGGGGTGTCTCCAGTTATTTTGCGATCGTTATTTTGAGGAAGACTGACAGAATTCTTCCATTACATTTAAGCAGGATTAGTTACGCAGTTTCTTATTAATCCAACAATCACTTACTTCTTTGAACCAATTTTAAAAGGCTTTAACGAGCATTTTAAAATCAACGTGAAATTGCGGTGCAATTAAATTCAATTTCAATCGCAAATAGGACCTCTTCTTGGCAGCAGGCGCAGACTACGCAGACCTCTCCATCTCACAGGGCCTACCATCGACTGAACTGGACCTCATCTCCCAACACAAACGATGCATGCATCGTGGTGATGTATCGCGATCCAAGAAACAGCTCTCTTTAGATTCCTGGCTCGAGGAGAGGGAGGGCGACGAAAACAATGTCTAGTCTTCCCTTTCCCCTCTCATTTGGTCGATGGGTCAAAGCACAAGCTGTATTATTTTGGATTCCTGGCTCAAGGGGCCGGGGGCTGGACGACACTAGCCCTCCTTACCCTTTTGTTTTTATCACTTGATTGACCACCTAATTTTACGGAAGCCCATCCTTCACTTCATTCCTCGAGGTGGGCATTGAGTATTTCGATCCTCTGGAATTTCCTTCTCATTTGAACTGTGCATGTGTACGTGGGCGGATTGTGTATAGCTTTCGATGAGCCTAAGTTGTATTGTGTAAAATCTCATTTCTCCACCCCAAATTTACTGGCATTTGTACCATATCTATACTTACGTATCTCTATAATATTAAAATCCAGTATATCATTCCACTCCGCTTACTTTCATCCCGGCATTGGAGAGCATTGGCTCGCCTGAGTCGGATTTCATCCAGTTTCTAAGTTTTATCTTATTTGTTTCAATCTGCGGTTACAAAAGCCGTGGTAATTATCACTCCTGCTTCATCTGGATTGTTTGTAAATACTGAGTCGCGATTTTAGTGCAACGGATGGTGCCGTAGACTGACCTGCCTCCTCATGAAACTGCGCGTCCCAAGACGGTAAGATCAGGTGTGCGGTCGTGCAATTCAAATCTGAGACCGCAAAATACAGGTCCGAAGTACCATCGCGCGATAGTGCTCAACCTCAGCCCCTATGGTAACTGGTGGACGCATTATGCATGATTCAATCAAGGCTAGCCACCGTTCATCAACATGAAAGGTGATAATTATAGTTTGTGTTTGAAGGATGCGACGTATTATGACAGGCGAGGTGTCCTGTGGGAGAAGGCGCAAGAGTTGGACATGTAGATGTAAAATCGATTGGCGCCTGTGACGTGAAGTGCGGGACTTCAGCAGCAAAAACATTTAAGTTCGTCAACACCAATCAAGCGTAAGCATTCGTCAGTGAGGGTCTCAAACCAAGAAGCTAGGTGGTCCCCACGAACTTTCAGAGAAAATAGCTGCTGATAGTAGGGCGAGACTGAGATTTGGCAACAAACTCCATCGATTTCGAGCATAGTTTCGAAAAGTTTGCCTGCTGATGAAGGCAACCAATTTCAAGATGCTTCAACCTTATGTTAGACATTTATGCGCTCAAGAAGTAAGTGCTTGGATGCCAAAATTAGCACAGGTGAAATTCTTTGCGCTTTCTTTATGCGGCCTTGGTTTGACTTGAAAAATGGACACAAATATTTTTTGTCCCATTTTAGCCCCGAAGTATCTGTTTCAATAATGATAAAAATCTGATTTCTTCATCAATGATGAGAGGTGTTTACTACCTATAACACGGTCCATCGCCAATTTATTGAAGCCGTTTGCATGGTTAAAATATGCACGTCATGTTTATGCCGGTGGAGAATTTGCCTAAATGCATGGCTGGGGATCCAGTTTCGTTTCGTTGATGGCCATTCGAATGGCACTTGCTACCATTTCGTCGTCCTTCAAGTAGTAGCGTCGGATGGGTTTCATGTGTTCGTCAAAATCATAAACCAGAGGGAAACCTAAAATTGAATATTAAATCGCAGATTAGAAAATGCAGTCCATAATACTTCGAAGATATCATCTTCACTGAAACCAAGTTATTAGAATGATTAGAATGTGATAAACCTATTGCAATGAAATATTCAGTTTTATAAATGGAGGGTTCAGACTGCACCTTTGCATGTCCCACCGTCATAGCTGTTGTGAAAAAACGGACTTACACGGTGGAATATTAATGTCAGCAATATTTTCGTCGGAAATGTGATCAAGAAACTTCATTAAGGCTCGAAGCGTGCTTCCATGCGCAACAACCAGAACCCGATTGCCTTCCTTGAAGAACCAAAAGAAAAGCATGTAAAATTCCCTAGATTCTAGGCTTCTATTTGTAAAATTATGTAGTTTTGAGCTAACGCTGTCGTGCATCACTGCTTGATCGCACAAGAACGAGACAAGCAACAGAAATATTTAGTAAATGCAAAGGCTTGCCTAAACTTGATCGCCTTCATTCAACTCAAAACCCACCATAAAGTTTTAAACCATTTGAAGATGCATTGTCCCTTGAAGCAGAGGAAAAATACAGCTCTAGTTATATGCAAGTCCCTTTCATTCAGATGGCTCAGCTACCTGTTACGACAATCGAGCTCTGCGATAAGGTCATAGGCAATTCGGCAAATTCTAGGAAACAGTGTAAATAATGGGGACGAGGTAATGCCCTCCCTCATCCTAAACTGTGTCCTAGAACTTCAAAAGACTAAGTAATGCCTTCAGGGGGTTTGCAGAGTCTAATGTTTGTCATATGTTCATGCATAAAATGGGGATGAGGTCCGTTTGATGTAATCTTCCACCACCAACAGCCGCCACTGGATGTCGTTCCTGGCACCTTTAGATTAACTTACTCGCATCCGATACAGAACATCGCAGATGAGGAAAAATGCACTGCCTGAATGTAACGTGTCGATCCAATATGAGTGACCCACCTACAGCCTCAAAATATTTTATAGAGCTACATTATTATTTGTTCTGTGTTAGAATGACCCACCATTCACCTTCTCCAACGCATGCGAATAATTCTATTCATGGCCATAAGACTAATTCAATTTGCATCTGATGCTTAGAGAATTCAAAATACGAAATGACGAGCAACGTAGTGATGATCACCGACCAGTGTAGTATTTCACCAATTTCGGACATTAGGGGAAATGCATGCATTTGGAAAGCTTGTGGTAATTCTGACAAGCCAATGCAACAACTTACGCTAAGAGAAAGAGCTCTGATGTTTCCTGCCATTAAGTGTAGGTCAGTACCAAATTAGGTCCATTTAATGAGAGAACAAAAAAATGTGACAACAACAATTCCGGATTGGTGTTAGAAACGTATATGCAAACCTTAATCGTTGGTACAATTTCATCGTTCCAAAATGGCAGCAGTCGCTCATATGCATCACGAAGACACTCAGTATCCGGGATAAGAGTTCTATCAAGAAGCTATAAAAGCAAAATTGACTAATGAAAGGTGGGTAATTGTGAACGCACCTAAAATACTAAGGTTTTGCGAGGTCATCAGCCTAACCTTCCAGAATTTACATGAAGGCCTTTATACATATGAATTAAAAGCGTCTCGTAAGTCAATTTAGTGAAAAATCATTTTATCGGTGTGAAAGAATGCCAGGCTTGGTCAATCAGAATGATTTTACATCACTATTATACTCAAACATATCAATAAAGGAAAATGTGTATACGTACGGCGTACTTTGATTCGAAAATAGGGTGCTGTTTCACATCCCGACTGAGGGTTGGCGGCGTGCCACTATACGCCCTTCTCCAAATACGAACTTGATCCTCCCCATGCTGCAAAGCTAATTTGGATTTATTGCAGCCCTGGAGGATGCCATACATGCGTGCGTTTAATCTCCATGATCTAAGATAAGAGGTATTATGCATAAAGCACAAACAGAAACGCAATTTAAAGCAGTATTAGCTTTTACAACCGATATACCACTCTTCATGCAATGTTATATTATTTAAAGATAGGCGGATGCTTTCCTACCCAATAAATGGCATAGCGATAGAGTAAGAAACCCTGCTTACGATGATTTTGCAATTAAATGAGTTTTTTATCTGTATGTTGCCGTCAACCCGATACCGCTAAGATCATTGGATGGAACGATGCGCATGTAACATAGATTGGTCGAGATAAGGAATTGCAAGTACTCAAGCAGCTGACCCTTATTAAATTGAATGGATTTCCGAGTTATTATGGGTCAGTCTCCAGAATATTATAATTGGCAGAACAATTGCATGCTACGCTTTTATAAGACAAAATTGGGCTTAAAGACCTTCTATTTTACGAAACTCACATCTATTTAAAGCACGAAACATTTTTACGATTAAAATTCAGCTTTGTCCAATGTAAAGCGAAAAAAATCAAATAATTTTCACAAGCATCTAAGATAAAGAATTGCCCGCAGGCTCATTATTTCTATAAGTAGTCCACAACAACATAATTACTTACATGGACACAATAAAATTGTGCTTACTTATGTATTGGAATCCAAAGTAGCCCCATTTGTTCTAATATTATGTGGCATGTTTTAATGGCTCGTCTCAGGAGACTCGTAAATGCAATGTCGAATTCAACTCCTCTCTTCACCAGAAGTTTGCCAGCATCCTCGGATTGGCATTCGCCTCTGTAGGAAATATCAGAATCTGTCCATCCACAGAAAAGGTTATTTTTTGAAAACTCGCTCTCTCCGTTGCGTATAAGCACAAGCTGATAAGATGATTGCTCAGATGGCTTCTCCATTGTACTACGAAAACCGATGATTGGCGCAACTAGGCAAGGAATCTCGGATGCACTCGATTCCGAAAATCGCGCGTTATGAGATATCGGGACGATGCGCCTCAGACTCTAGCATTACAACAAATTTCGCGACATTTATTTAGCGCAACGACTTAGTGAGCTTATAATCAATTAAGCTATAACACGAAGAAAAGAAGAATTTCAGAGAGCAGAAGTTGGAACTTGTGAATAAGTATTTTGAGCTATAGAACGGTTTATTGGCAAAAGCCCGAACTCAAGTTTCCTATTGCTAGATTGCTTTCAACAACCTAATTTATTTTAAATTTGATAGTCAAAATTCATCGAGTTTTTGAAAAATGCTGACACTTTTATCGGACTGTTAATTACTTTGAGATTGTAATATTTTCCGATTTTTGGCTCAGTCTTCATATCTTTGCTCGTTCAGTAGGGCTGTTAATCTGATTGATATATCAGTTTTCGATGCCAAGCGTCCCGAGACTCCGTAGATGGTACAGGAAGACAGGATAAATTGGCCTGGGCATGGCCCGAAGACCAGCCCACGTTTACAAGGGCCAGACAAATCCTAGTGACAGCCAAACATCAGATAATCACATAAACAAAGCACTACGCAATCCTTTTTACCTCTGTATATTAGCGGTAGCTGCATCAGCAACGAGAGTGATATCGCTGATTCCCCATCACATTGACCTCCATCGACCTAAGTGCAGAGCTGCGCATTTTCGTACCTACTTCAGGAATCATTGTCCTATTTTAGCACCCAAGACTTCTCACTAGTTAAAAGAAGGCATGCAAAGAGGTAGTTAATCAAACAACACACTAGTTTTTACTAGATCCTCTTGAAAACGTTATCAGCACTGATTTTGCTTACAAGTAGTGGGGATGAAGGGTGACCTAAAGAGCCCTTAAAAGAAGCTTTAATTGCTGTATTATGGCAAAAAATAATCCAATTTCCTAGTATCCGGGATACTACAAGGCTGCAGATGTAGCAGAAAATTCAAAGGGCTATGCCCAAAAGATTTTATGGTAGATAGCTTTTTAGTTCAAGTACATTTTGGCGGAAAGCGCAGTAAGTAATGGGAGATTTACATGACTCCCATTTGGTCTCCTTCTCTGCTAATGGCTGCTGCCACTTTTGAGTCATCTGCCAAATAATAATGTCGAATTGGCATCAGATCTGCATTCAGTTCGTATACGAGTGGAATCCCTGCATAAAAGAATACGTAGTAGTAAATATGGCATAAGGGCACCAAGTACAAAATTGTTAGTAAAACTAAAGCATAGTTCAAATTAATTAAATGCGATTAATGGTGTGGTAATTAATGGTCTATCCGTAAAATCTTCACACGAGCATAGAAATTTTAAATGCTTATTACGCTATACACATTGATTCCAACAAGTATCTGTTTCCCAATGACTGTTAAGTCAAAGGGTAGCAGCAAAAGTAAGATTATTGAGCCTAGAGGATGAGAATGCGTTATGTTGTCATAAGAAAGGCAGAGGCTTACATGATTATCTAGATGGTGTTTAAGCTAAATGCATAATGTTAAAATTTAAATAAATGTTGATTTAATTGTGTTAAAGCTGTAAGTGATTGGAGAAATTACTGTCAATTGACAACATACCAAAGAGAAAATCAAAGTCATACATTTCAAACACTCATTTCATTAATTAGTAACAGAGGAAGTATCCGGCAATAAACGCGTACAAAGCGTACCGAAGTCGAGTGGTACATAGCCAAAGGATAGGTTCAAAAATAATCAAGCTAGCCTACCAAAGAAATCATGAGAGGCAAAATTTTAACATAATTTACCATAAGAAAAGCAGAACGCCTTAATAATAAAGGAATGGTATTGAAAATCACTTTAAAATATTTTGGACAAACCAGAAGGAATTTCTATGTCCATGACTTTTCCATCTGGGATGTAATCTATATGCTTGATCAGTGCTCGAATACTGTTTGCATGGGCCACTATAAGAACTCGTTTCCCCTTCTAAAAATAAATGATGCTAGACTGTAGCATTTTGTGGAAAAATAATTATTAACTAACGCTTTCGTAACTACTCAGGGAAAGGCAAGTGGTTGCTAGATCTTGCTCTTTAACAATCTGAAGTAGTGATAATTTATCATGTTACCAATATTTTGTAGTTTTGAGCACATATGACATGCGTAAGTCGATGACGAAACCAGCCAACTGACCTTTATTGCAGGGACAATTTCGTCATGCCAATAGGGCAGGACTCGTTTCACTGTGTCTTTAAGGCACTCCGTTTTGGGTAGTATATTGTGATCCAGAAGCTAGAAAACAGGAAATAACACACAGGCAGCAATAATTATGGTTCAGAGGTCTAGTAAATCCTATGAATACATGCTGAGGTCATGAGCTTCCTTTGAGCCATCAGTTTTGCCTAACTTACTAACTGACTGCCTAATTCTATCCCAAAGACATTTAATGCGGAACATAATCCATTAATCACTGCTCTTCGTCAGTTCTGCATTCGAACCCACACAGACTCGATCCACTACTGTAACCGTTTTGCTCATTGATCATCCTTGCAGGCAGCACTGCTTACGGCATAACGAGGATCGAATTCTGGCAACAGTGGATCCGTTGAAAGTAGAGCGGGGGGTGGAATGTCGTATGACTTCGTCCACAGTTGCAGCTGACATTGCCCATACCTATTGGTAGTTTCATTTTGCGTCAGACCTTGCAAAGCACCATGCATGCGGTCGTTCAAACGCCAACACCTGCGAAATGGCTAACATCTACAGCTTTGCATAAAATCGAAACTAATTCACCACAAAGTACTATCCATATGTGCAAATGAATCAAGTCAAAAAGTAGCATTTGGTATCATAGAGCACAAAACTGCGCACTTCTCGAATAGCCCAAAAGTCGTGCATTCGACAAGCGTAAGGACTTGTGGAGACGGACACAAGGCACTCGTGATGGGTGCATGTAAGCGTTCGACTTATTAAAGATGCTTACGAAACGCAGTCAATCATCGTGTTGTCTACGCGTTAATGGATTAGAACTTTGCAACAATGGCCAACATTCCGACTGATTGCCATTACAACTTTGTCTTCAATCAAAGTTCTCACAGGACGCAACTTTGCAACCACTCCCAAGTTGGTCTTTCATACTTACTTTAAAACAGGAATCCACAAGAGATCCAACTCTTCTAGGACAATGTGACAAGTCTTTATCGCCCTCTTAAGAACACTCGTGTAGGCAATATCAAAGTACAGAGATCGTTGTTTGATCATTTGACCTGCTTGTCGGGCTTCACATTCGCCCCTGGATGAGAGGTCAGAGTCCAACCAACCGATGAATCTATTCTCTTGATTGAATTCACTTTCCCCATGGCGAATGAATACCACCTTGTGACAGTGTGATTTTATGGCACTGTCTGCAAAACACAACAAAGTTCGAATGCAAATGGCTTACACATGTTGATTTGAAGGAAGATGGACGATAACACCTGGCGTTGTCACCCAAGGCTATGATTTCATTGGGCTGCATATCCACTTAAAGTTAACCGCGTTAGTTATTTAAGCAACGTCCACAGGCTTAAAGAGCGAAATGTGCTACAACAAAGTAGCCATCAGCACACAAGAGGAAGAGCTGCGAAGAGTGGGATTCTCAGTAACAATTATAGTGCATGCTACTAACCAATGATTGTGATGTTCCAATTCCAAATAATGCTCACTTGCATTTAAAAAGAAGTGAGTTGTTTAAGAATGTGCTTTAAAAGGCATATGCATCCTGGCTACGGATGATTCGTAACATGCCTTGTTGATGTGATCACCTGATGTCGTCTTGATGTGTCTCTCCCTGTTTTTCATCGATAGTCCCACATTTACCACTTCATTTACATTGATTCTTACTTGCTATCTTGACTTTAAGACACGATAAAGGTCTGAATCACACAACTACTTTAAAATGGATGACTTACCGTCACGTATATATATATATATATATATATACGAAAAGCCAATGCGCGCCAGTGAGGTATCAAAGCCTTGCCTTTGCTGCTTTCCTTCCCTTCTCCTCCTTCTTCTTCTCTCTCCCTCCTTCTTGCTGTAGTGGCTGTTAACGATGATGCGCACCTCCAATCCTTCCATCGCATTTCATTGTCTCGTCCATTTCTTACACGACTTCTGGCAATGGTAACACTGTAAGTTTAAAAATTGGAAGACCACCTTCTCCCAAGAAGTGGTTTTACTCCACAGGCTGTCTGCATTTCCCTTTTCCTACTTGCTCACTCACTCACTCATGCATTGCCACTGTGCACTTACTTGTCAGCATGAGCACGTAAGAATAGGTGGATTGTACGAGCGGAGTATTTGCTCCCGGCGACTGCGCTGCACCGTATAACGTGCACTATGCTACTCCTCAGTTGTTTAGGTGATTGCGAGAAACAGTTAATTGGATTAAGTGGATAATCTGTTATTTTGGTGACAAGAGGGTGTGATTGTCGGTGTCCAATCCGACGAGTGAAGCTGAGGATGCATCGGAGTGCGGATATTGCAGAAGGAAAAGGGCATTACCATCCAGCAGCATCTCTGACATTCGTTAAGTATGGATGCAGATGTGTGGAACTCCAAATCCTAATCTCACCTCAATTGTCGATGCTGCGCACGCTTCGACTGGGCGATGCATTCGACTCGCCGTCTTTGTTGTCTTTTCAGCAGCACGAATTTGGTGAATG